TAAACCTTTTAAGCTCAACTATATGTATACAGATTCTAGTTTATATTGAGCTATAATGAAACGTTTAAAGAAAGTCTAATAAATCCATCTATTCATTTATTTGATAAGAATACCTATATACAAAATAGAAACTCTAAAACTGTATTTTTCGATTACAGGAGCAAAAAAGATTTAGAAAGCAAGCCGTGCAAGTATGCGCCGTAGTACGTATTTCTCCTCAGAACAATCATTTTTAAATAAAGAATCAAAAGTATCATGCTCGAATGAAATAAAACAGAGTAGAGAGGCTATAGGGGGAAAGATATCTAAAGTCAACGACCCCTTTGATTCCTCAGAAGTTTCATCAACTGACCGTATTTCTTCTTTGCTTAATGAGTATACACTCAAAATAGGGAATTCTCCCTCCACTGGAGGGGTCCGTCCAATGTGTTCTTCTAGGGGTGTTCAAGGATTCTTTCGTCGTCGTACTCCCCAACTTCATGACGTGGACAATGAGGGGGTGCAATACCCAATTTACACTGATGATAAAAAGTACACCTCATCACATGCCCCATGCGGTAAAATTAGCCAGGATCATGTGGGGCAACAGCAGAAGGGAGGACCATCAGAATTTCTTAAGAAACCCATTTCGCATCCTTTCGCAAGTGTTCTAGATGAAATATCTGAAATCAATTCCCCGTTAGGGTGTTTAGATTCATCCTTGACTCCTTCTGAAGCCTCATTTTTTTCACCACCGCAAACCTTTATAGAGTCTGCTTTCTCGATGGGTCTACAAGACGAAAGCGTCCATGACGACGATCCGATTTTTTACCGCAAACCACCCGGAAGCACCCCCAAAGTCAAGAAACGCAGTAAATCCCAGAATCATCTTCGTACGGTGCCGGTGGGAATGAGGAAAGCACCTCTTCCCACACGAAGCCAACAAAATCTAAAAGCCCCCACACGACAGAAGCTACCGGTATCTTATCAAGAATGGGTTGAGGGTATTGTGGACATCGCCACGCATGTGTGGATGCCGCTTGGTTTTTTTGCCTTTCAGGGGGTTGATTCCGAGCCCCTGACAGATGTTATGAAAGGCGATATGGTGGAATCAACAAAGACAGTCCATGATTCTGAAAAAGCCAAAGGGTTTGTGAGCCTTATCTGGGGTTTCTATTCCCATGCGATTCCAGAAGAGACCTATACCTATACCGAGATCACGTGGATCTCCAACGGTCTGTGGCAACTACTTTTCAATACCGTCTTATATTGTCTTTCTCTTCTTGATTTAAATCGAAGTTCTGCTCATAAGATGGAAAACGATTCCAGGATGGGTGCGCATAGCCCAGGTCAACTCCCCCTTTTAGTGCCTGCGCCCCTGTCTTGGGCTAAGGCTACATCACCTTCCCAGTTAGACAGTTCCAAAGGGTCAAGAGACAATATAGGGTGGCTGAAGAAAGAGAACCCTCCTTTGTCGAGTGGGTGGTCTTTAGGGAGCCATAAAACCCCCAGTGTTGGGCCAAAAGTTCAGCCCTCACTTACGCAGGACTTCTACACCGATGACCCTATTCATGATTCGCTGAGCACACCTGATTTGTATACCATCGATGAGTCCTATTCTGGGCGTTTGCGCGTTCCGTTATCTGTGTTGGACTGGTGCTTGCTCTTGCGTTCTCTTGCTCATATGGGGTACACGCGAGATGAATTTTATATTCAAACCCCTACTCAGGCCTCACCACACGAATTACTGCTCGTTATGCTTTGGTTGACAAATAAATTTCAACTTATTTCCGCTGTTGAGTATGTTGAAATAAACCGACAGTACCCTTTTCTCCTTCGCTATCATGCCACAAAGCGCGATAATGAGGATAGCGTTTTTCAAGATACGACGTCATCTATGAGTCAGGAACGGCTGCTATTTTCCTTTTCCAAATCAACAGTGTGGCCACCGGCGAGTTTTGATGAAAGTGCGACGATTGCCCACCGTCTACGTCAAATCGAGCGAATACTTGGTGTAGAAAGGTCCGAAACACGCAGCCCTTCGTTTGTAGCGCCGCAAAGACGGCATTGCGCAGGAGGAGTAGGCAAGACCGTTCTTCGAAGAGTGCTCGCCGCGCAGAATTTGATCCAACTATCTTTGAATCGTTTGGAGAGCGCGCTCCAACAACGCAACGAGCAGGTTTCTGCACTGGGCCTGCATAGTTATTCGGATGCGCAGCTATGTACATATGAGCATCATAACCTTTACGTAAGGGTCATTGAGGGACTTTACCACTTGTCGACGATGGAAAAGCGTGTTTTACAGCGTAGCCAAAGCTTATCTGCGGCAGGATTTTTGTTGGCCTTTCTTATAAAGCAACGAAACTTGCCCACTCATACCTCCGACCTGGATATTGTTGAGTCATTAGAGGGAGACGCCATGACGTGGCTTGCGGATGAAAATGGCAACCAGCAAGACGGATTGGAGGGGCATGACACTACCACAACGATGTCCGCCTTTGTAAGGTGTTCTGAGGCAGTAAAAAAAGACCAAATACGTCGTGCCGCATCCTGTCAAGTTTGTGTAGACGGCGAAGGCGGTCAAAATACGGAACTACTGAGCCATACAATTTCACAGTTCCGTGCAGGACGCGTCAGGGAGCACCTTGGGAATTTGTGGAAGTCTGCGGTACGAAGGGCAAAAATTAGTGCTTTTCCGGGGGTTTCTGTCTCCGATAGTATATCTTATGACAGCTCAACCGTTTTGTTATCAGATGAAGCCAAGGATCGGATTGAGCTTTATGTGAAGCATCATATCAATCGCCATTACTCCCTTCACGCTACGCTCGCGGCCGAATTACTTATACTCCAGTACCAACATCACCAGAACATTCGCAGTCTGCATGATATTAACACAGTAGGGGATTCGTCCAAAAGCAGAAACGAAGCCTCAGGCTTGTCGCTTAATGCTTCTTGGGTGTCCGCTATACCATTATTCTTCACTACCACCACATACAAACTTCCCGTGGATTCTAATGGGGAGGCGGTTTCAACAGGCAAAGACACCCCACTGGGAGACTGTGATATTCAGCTAGTGGAGATTGGTGAGCCAAGGCCGGGAGCGACTACCTCAGCAACCGTTGAATTGGAGCGCATATCACGAATTCTTGAGGAAATAATCCAGAACTTTAAAAGGCAGCAATCTTCGCAGATTGATTATTGCGGAGAGTCCCTTAATCAGCTCCGCCTGTATTTCAACTTGCGAATGCTCACTAAAGTCGCTCAAGGATGAGGCGTATGTCTGGATTGTTTCGTCTATTAATCTAATTCCATGAGAACACTAAATCTTTGATTAAGATGAGGGTGAAAAGCGACATATTTAATAAACCATCGTGGCAAATGTAACATTAATTCTATACTTCTCATTGTTATTATTGCACATGGCAAACAGTTAAACTAATTATGTGGTTATTGCTATTCTTTTGTTACCTACTCTTTTCCTTCTTTCCTGTTTCCGCCACTACCAGAATGCCATCAAAATGTGATCTGTGCCAAAAAGAGAAGGGATTGACATCTAAGCACACTGACAAAGGGTTATTGTGCAAAAAAAAAATTATATCAAAATGTGTTTTTGATTACTCGTTAAATACGTTGTAATCTTTCACAAAATATAATTTAAGGAAGTGCTGCTAAATGAAAGTCATCTTGAGGAGATTTGCTTCTCGTTTTGCCAGGGATTAGTCTGATCTAAATGAGGCTAGCACGACACCTGCAGCCATGTATTGCACCAAAGAAGTTGTGATAACTTTTTGTATGGATACTGGTGCATTTTCTACCAATTATTCTCTCTTCATCTATACAGTTGGCCGTGGTAGAAAATATCCATATATAGTATGATAGCTTACAAAAAGAGTTTATTCATTAGTCTCTCTTTACTGCTGTAATAATATCCAGTGCGGCGCCTTTGTACGATTTCTTATTTGAAAATATACCGCAGAGGGTGCGAAATAGGACAATAGAGCGACAATCAGTGACGGGTAATCGAGTGCAGATTTTAATTTGTCGTAACAAGTGCGGCTCGCCTCCTAAAGGGTGGAATCTATCCATGACGGAAACCAAAGTTATTCCAAGGGAATTCAATACTCCACACTTTTTTGACAACTACCTAAGAAGGCAACCTTAATATCGAAATCTTCATAGTGGTTACCAAAAACATTGAGAATATCAATATACGTCTCTAAGCAGTTTTTTTTGACATTTCTTACAAATTCGACTACCATTAATCTGTACAGAATTGGGAATAAATTCGATTCTTTGAAGTGCAGATATTGCGGACTTATTGTGTGAGGAGATGGCTTGGGTTTAAATTAATCCTTTGAAGAACTTCAGCAGATGATATGCATGATCAGTGTCTGACAGAAGCAAACAACGTGAATTTTCAAAATGCGACTATTATGCCCCCCTTTCAGATAGTACTTAGTCTATTCACCTTAGAACTTTTTCGTAGATTTTTACTTTATGTTTGAACATTTCTGCTCCAAATCTTTTATCATAGAATAGTATGCTAAACTGTACCGATTGGAGCTACTTTGAGTATTTTATGATATATGACACACATTATCAATCTCGTCATACTTGTTTTTTCTTCTTATATATCATTTAATTAATCCTTAAGTATAAAGAAAACCTTTAGTGGATAGTTTTCTTGTTTTTTTCCTTTCAGATTTTTTTTGCTCAAGAATTGGTAAAGAAGTACCTTTCTGAGGATTCTAATATAACGGTGTATCGTTTTTAAAATAATTCAGCGAAATAAAGAAGTCAAACGTTAGGTCCTTTGATTATTTAGGTAGTTAATTTTTTTTAAGTATATTGGATCAACAACACGTATATCAACTGAAGGAGCAAGGAGAACGAACAGATTGACTATAATAATATGCTACATGATCGTCTGGAGGATTTGAGCACCTCCCAGGGTGCGGCAATTCGGTATTTGCTCTCTGCGGTGTCCAAAAATACCTTGCAAACTACCTTGTCATCGTTGGAGCAATTTACCAACAGAGGTATTGAGTGCCACCGTTTTATTATAATGTGCACAGTCGGATCGGTTCTTTCAAACCGAAGTGACGAACGCCTTGCATTAGCTGTTAAGCTTGTCACGGTTGCGTTAGACAGACCAAATGCACTGTCTCTAGTGGCAGTTGCTCTCGATGAAGCTCCTATCACCGTGACGAATAAATTCTTGACAAACTTTATGAACAACGACCTTAAGCTTTCACCAATACATCAACTTCAGTTTGCAGCAGCCTTGGCAATCGGTAGCGCGACCGCCAAATTGGCTGCTACGGAATTCCTCGAAGACCTCAACGCTCCACTGACTACTCACAGAGAGGAGGATAACAGCATGCGTTCCATAGCGGTGTTGATTCGTCAGCTTGGTACGATGCCATCCTTAGACTCTCAGCTGTCGCCATTGTCTAGCGTTACTCTGTTCCCCCCAACGCCCCACCACGCCACCCATGTAAGCGTTTCTGATGTCTTGCGCGAGCTTGGTACTGGTTGTGTGACCACGCTGGCCGACTCGCGCGAATTGCTCTCTATTTTCCCTCACAAGTTCACCGACCGAGATGTGGCGGATGTCCTGGGATTCTTCGCTTCTCAGGGGAATGCACCGAATGACGGCACCACCTATACCTCCTTGATGACGGCATCCGGCAAGACGGCCCCCAAGAGTGTCAGTGGTAATAACACCGTCGTGAATGCCATGCCACTGTTGGATGCTATGCACGAGGGAAGCAACCGTTTCGATTGGGACAATATCATTCGTCTACTGGATCAACCTGGTGAGGATTCTTTTCGTCTCAAAAGTATCTCTGTTATATTCGATGCCTATCACCGCTTCAAACAGGGAGGTGATTACCCCTCAGTTGCGCTCTTTCTGGGCCTCTGGAAAAACCCTGGGAGACAACGTAACGCGCTCGAATACATATTGCGACACTTAGACAAAGTGAACCGTAAAGGACTTACACTGGATGCACCGAGTGAGGTCTTGCCAGGCATTAAACCAGCAGGCATGACTGCAGTTGAGATGGATTTGTGGCGTTCATTTGCCTTTGTAGAAGCTGCCGTTCACGTAGCAGCGCGTGACAAGGATTTCCACAATGATGTATTCCGCCCCGCAGTAGAAAAGTTACCGTTGTTGTTTCTTTTCACACTCTTCTTCGGCACATATAGTGGTACAATAGAGAATTTCGTTACCATAAAATACATCCTCAACAGCTGCTGCCCTCCTTTGGATCATGTAGCTACTCATATTATTCCTGAAGCGGAGAAGCGTAACCGCTTGGATTCTCTCATCAGCATGTTCTCAGAACTCACTGTTTCGTCTCAAAATCGTATTGTAGATGTCCTAGGAATGATTTTCAAGTGCAAATCCGTCATAAAGCGTTTTCTTAAGGGAAGTGGTAGCCCACGGTTGGTAGTTGCTATCGCCATGTGTATGGATGAAGCGGGTGAACCAAGCGACAAGTGGCTCCAGAGAGCTCTTGAGGGAAAGCTGCATTTTCGAGCGAGCTGTACTGAAAACCGTTTTTCAGTTGCTATGGGCATTGTAGAGGTGGCAGAGATGCTGCAGGAAAAGCAGATGTATGTAGCGAGCGCCACTGCTGCGCTTAACGCGTTATTGGCTTCTCCCCTGAAGGATATGCTTAAAAGTGTTGTGGAGTGCGCGCGTGGACTATTAGCCTCGACAGATTCACTTTTTCCCGAGGATGTCGAGGCCGAAGCGACAGAGTTCTTCAAAACCATGCACTCCACCGTGTCCACGGCAAATGCTATTACGTACATTGAATCTCTCCTCAAAAGCGACAATGCACGCGACCGCCAGCTCTACGCATGCATTGTTGGCATCATGTTTGACGAGAGTTTGGTTATTGGCTGTTACCCTCGGAAAGAACTGCAGTTGTTTGCTGAACTGTACGGTCAGATGATTGCAAAGGAGTTACTCCCTCCGAATCAGCAGCAACGTGCGTGGGGTTTGTTGCTTCCTGCTATAGTGAAGCCAAGCAGCTACGCCGTTGAGGAGTACGGTTTGATTGCCTTGGAATACATAAAGCCGCGTTTAGCGGACTGGCCGCAGTACGGTCGTGCGCTGCGACACCTAAAGGATCTAGATTTCCGCGTTCCTGGGATCATGGCTGCTATTAATCGTGGTATCAAGCAGGAAGAGTCCTCCAAAAATGCTGAGACGAGCTCAGGGACTGACCAGCGCTCCACAGGTACCAACTCAGTGCAGTTAAACAGCCTCCCCATCGTTGATTCTGCCATTGTTTCAGTCACGAAGTCGGATGGGACCTCTATGAAGCAGCAATCTGTGGCGTCTAAGTTTCATACGCTGGATATTGCCACTTTGATCACGAACAAGAACGTCACATCGCCACCTCGCGTTATTCAGGAGCAAATGAATTTTCTAATTGGTAACACTGACGTACACAAGTTGGAAAGCAATGTAAAGGAGCTTTCACAGTTGCTACGTCCTGAGTATTACGAGTATTTTGCTGACTACTTGGTTGTGAAGCGGGCTGCACTGGAACCAAACTACCACAGCATTTATATCGAGCTCGTCTCCAAACTCAACTCCAAAGTTCTTGATCGTGCTCTTCGTGTTGCTACCGTTTCCGCTGTTAAACGTCTTTTGGTTTCAGATTCGTTCCGTACCGACTCTAGCGACCGTGTTCTGCTGCGCAACCTCGGATCTTGGTTGGGCAGCATCACCTTAGAGAAGAGTATTCCCATCCTTCAGCAAGACCTCAGCTTTAGGGATCTCCTCCTTAAGGGCTTACGCGAGGGGAAGCTTGTCGCTGTTGTTTCGTTCATGACGCGTGTGCTCAACAATTGTGCGCGGTCCCGCTTCTTCTGCCCTCCAAATCCATGGACCATGGCTCAGCTTTGTCTTCTACTGGAGGTTTACCAGCTCAAACACCTCAAAATGACACTGCGGTTTGAGGTTGAAGTGCTTTGTAATAAATTGGAAGTGACTCTATTAGATGTGGATCAGTACATGAACATTCATCAATCTAATTCAACCACTACCGAGCACATGGCGGATGCTTTGAAAGATGTCGATATCAGCAAAAGTCCAGATTTTCGTATTGGAGATGACAATGTTTTACCAGAACAGACCCAACAGTTGTCCCCCAATGTACAACAAAACACAGCTCAGCAACAGGCACTTCGCACTGGCGTACGTCCCTTGCAGGCGAGTGCGGAGCCTTTCCAGCCCAAGGATGTGAGTCTGAACCATAATGTACAGGAGATAGTTGACCAGCTTGACATCCCACGGCGGCCACAGATCCTAATTTTACCTGAAACGGTTTACGTTCGAGATGAAGAGCTGCAGATCGTTGGTGGCCGTATAACAGAGTATCGCCAGCTGCTTGCTTCTATGCTGCGCAGTGTTGTTGAGGAGGTTTACAATAACGATGTCGCACGCTCCGAGGCTGTGGCGGTACTTTCGACATATAACATCGTGACCAAAGATTTTACACGCGACATAACTGTTGAGGATATGATAATGGCTGGTGAGGCCATGGCGCGTTCACTAGCGGCTAGCCTTTGCTTCGCGACTGTCCGTGATGTACTTCCATCACTTCTTATGAACGGAGCGACCGCCTTGGAGGCACGCTTTGTTGACCGTGCCTCTCAGCAGACTGGAGTGCTGCGTAACGCTATCTTGGCAAGTAATGAGGAACTGTGCATCCGAGCACTCGAATACATGGCTAGCGAGGGAGCTGCTAAATCACTGAACGCAAAGATAGCGGATGTTGTTCGCGAGAAACTCATGGCGACCGCCAACAACACGCCCTTGCGCATTCCTACCGATCAGGCTGAGGTGGCGGAACTACTGCGTGTGATGGGGGACACATTAGTACCACCGTGCCGCATGCCTCAATACCAGAAAGATATTTACGGTGAATTCTTTAACTGCATGCCCGTGGTCTTCCTATTTAATGCTAGCTTGCGCAGTGTTGAAGAGGCAATTTCCAAGTACTACTCTACTGATAAATGCGTCCCACTGGATCTAAACACTGCGCATTTCATGGAGGACAACGTCAGTGAAGGTCACGGTGTAATCCGTCAGCGCATTTTGGGACTTCTAACCATTATTACTCCAGAATCCGCTATCTACTTAATAAATCCTGTTTTCAATAAGGTTATGATGCTTGCGAGCACGATTGATCGCTTGAACAAGGAGATGAATAGCATAAATAAAAATAACCAAATTCATCCACATGATCCGTCCGTAGCGGCGGATGTCAGTCCTAACAACCGCAATATGCAGATCGCTATGTTAGTGCATCAAATGTATATGTTGACCTTGCAGAACTGCATCGAACGTGGAGGGGAATCGGTGCGTGCGGAGTTCAATCGTCTATATTTCAAAAGTCCGCAGCGTTACAACTACCACAAATTAACTGCCGATCTTATGCGCATCAAGATACTCAACATTGCACGTCTGGATGAGGACTTGGCCAAAACTCTTACCTCGGGGGCACCTAATTACGTCAATTTTGCAGGAGATATCATTAGTGCAGTAATTATCAAGGATAAGGTGGTTTCATCTAAGGACATGAGGCGCACGTTAACCGCACTCGATACAATTGCCTATTCTCGAAACAACATTCGAACCTCACCCGTCGCCCCAAGTCCTGCCTACGTCACTACGCAGCCCTTAAGCAAGTTGGTGGATCCTTCCGTCACGAAGCTTTTGGTCCCCATTACACTCTTTGACGACAAACTTGAGCTCGTTGACGGATTACTTGATGAATGGATTCAGATCTGGTCGCGATCTAAGAGCCATCGACACTCGAGTGATGAACGGAACCCGTCAGTGGAGTTTGTCAAAACATTGCAGTCTAATGGTTTGCTTGACACCACTAGCTTGTCTATGCTCCTTGGCCTCAGCATTCGCCTGTGCGTGGAGCACTATGCGACCGTTTCTCTCGCATTGGAGCGCGAGAACCAGGATATGGTTGAGAGAGAGCCCATTGGCAACAAACCAGGTGTTCCCCCTCCATACCGTGTACCCTACTCTATCAAACTCTTTCTTAAGTGCGACGGCTTCACAGACATGGTGCTAGTGCTGCTTCGGTGCTGCTCTCTTCGATATGAATCTTCCCGCGAGCAGCGGGCCGAGATCACGTTGCTGCGGCGTGTTCTAGAGTTATTCCTTCGCGTTATCACAAACCATCACAATAATGTGGCCTCACGGCAGTTTCCCCAAACTAAACTTCCACCTAACTGTGCCTTCATTCCATATTTCCAGCAGCAGCCCTACGTGCGCCTGATCAGTAATCTTATGATAGCTATTCAGCGCCAGGAGTCGTCCAGTCGTCGAGAAATGCCCGATGACATCACGCAAGCTTTCCAAACTATTTTACACCGACTTCAGCCTTGCCAGTACCCTGCCTTTGCTTTTGGTTGGCTGGAACTCGTGGCGCACCGAACGTTTATTCCGCGCTGTCTGCGCCAACAAGAGATGTGGAGTCACTACACCGAATTGCTCATCGACGCCCTGAACTTTATCGAGTTCCTAACTCAGGGCGGTGCCATCTCTTCAAATGGTCTTGTGTTTTACAAATCCGTCTTCAAGCTCATCCTCGTCCTACTACACGATTATCCGCTATTCCTTATTGAGTACCACTATCCGTTATGCGATGCCATTCCACCATACTGTGTGCAGATGCTTAATACGGTCCTGTGTTCCTTTCCTCCTGAAATCCGTCTGCCGGAGCCATTTCAGCAGGTCACCAATGACACGCCCGATATGCTCAAGCTGCTTGGTACGAAGGTGCAGACTGAGTGTATCAACGCCACCTTCAACGAGTTTAGTAAGGAGTTCGATCTGACAGTGCTCACTCAATATATGTCCAAGGACGATGAGCCAATGCCTGAGAACGACATGAAAATGGTGCTGAACTGTCTTTTAAATACGACACGCTGGTCGCTAATGAATGCAATCGTGCTGCATGTATCTATTACATATTTGTATACACATAACAACACAATTCCGGCTACTTTCAGTAATTCCAATCCTATCCGTTTGTATCGCTACCTTTGCAAGAACTTTAGTACAAAGCATCGTTATCACTTTTTCTGTGCCTGCGCGAACCACCTACGATATCCGAATATTCAAACAAACTTCTTTTCCAAAGTGATCTTCGCCTTATTCTTGCCAAGTCCCAATGTGGACAATCACACTCAAATTTGTATTCAGGAGCAAATTACACGCGTGGTAGCGGAAAAGACAGTTATTGTTCAGCCACACCCTTGGGGTGTGCTCAGTACTTTTGTAGAGCTTATGCGCAACCCTAAGTTTAAGTTTTGGGAAAAGAGTTTTATTCATACCCCTTTCTTGGACCAAATTTTCATAAAGTTGCGTCGGACACTGGAAGCGCGTAGCGCGAGTGTGGCCACAAGCAACAATATCCCAGCAGCCACAGTGTCCAACACGAATCCCGTTGCACTTTCCTAATCACAACAAACGATGTTAAAGAAATAATTTAGAGAACAATTTAGCAGACAATAAGTCCGTTTTCACTCCATTTCAGACCGAGGAAGTGTCCATATTTAGAGTTTATTAATTCCTCGTTAATTCATTTTGACACTTCTCTCTTCATTTATTGCTAATTATAGGATTTTTTCATCATATGATTTCGTATGATATTTTTATTTTACAGACATGACATTTGACAATGGAGTCTCTGTTTATTTGTTGTTTCGCCATTTTTCTCTTTTAGGGCGTTTTTTCCCTTTGTTATTTAGAGTGACAGATAAATAAAATTGTCATCTGACATATCAATACAAACATTTTTTGCTCCACATTGAGGCTGGGCATTATTTTAAATTGTTAATGGCTTTAGTTTTAGGCAGGTTAAGGGTTTCTTTACAGCACCTTTCTATACACCACCACTTATTGGTACTACAAATGAAGAATTTTTATTATACCATTTTGATAGGTGTAATTTTGCTTGTAAAGATGAAATTATTCGTGTTTCCGTGAATGAAACACACCAACCACAAACTTAAAATAATATATAACTTAACATACTCAAGCAGCAACAAAAAATAGAAAAAACATATTATTTTGCTGAGTCTTCCATCTACCCTAGTGGTTGTGGAGGATGCTACACATATCTATGTATTTACCTGTATCTTTGGATTCTTGATAATTAATGAGACACATAACTCTTGTTTTTTTCCACGCATCTGCTTTTTTACTTCACTGACAATATCATTTTATTACTGGCTTCAAGTTTTTTGAGATACTTCTGAGTGCATACACACTTACAATTGTCTCAAACAGGCCATAAATATTTTAAGCGATCCCGTTCAAATTATCAGTATAAGTTCAATGCAGGAAAAGATGAATATTTTAAGGCTATTCACAGAGAAGGCTAATCACCAGGCCCTCAAGCCGATTCTCTGTTCCAATTTCATTAGCAAGCCACTACAGGTCTCCCTTAGTGGTTCTCATACCACACCATTTCTTCAATTTACCGATGACGATAAGCTTATTGTACCGAACGAGATGGCAAAATTTATTCTCAACCAAGGGGATAACAAGGGGCGTTTAACTTTGGAGTTCTCTAAAAATGGGTTTCCGTCGAAGCTGTATGCTCCCGTTGATCAAGAGACCACATCTGATGAGATGTTGTGGTTGGAATGGGAATCGAATCACTTTGCTATGGCTGTCGAGCCGCTCTACTCCAAGGGTTGTGTAACCCTCGAGGCTAGGGAGGCTTTTCGAAGCCTTGATCATGCTATTGAGAAGAATAAGGATAAGGGCATATGCATCATTTCCTCAGAGCCACTTCAAATTTCATTCTTAGTGGATACTGTGGTATTTTGTGGGGTCTTTCCGGCTTTGTGTGAGGGTGGAATCCTACCCGATGAAGAGCGTGAGACGCTGCCACATTTAATGGAATGGTTTCGCGTATATCAGTGCTTACACGAGGAGCTTCTGGATACTGCATGCGAAGCGTTGTCGGTTCAGGAGCCGGGTGATTTTTTGAGGGCTCCACGTAAGTACAAGATATCACCGAAACTCGAAAAGACTTTCTTTGTTACAACCCCAATCTACTATGTGAATGCTGGGCCTCATATTGGCCACGTGTACAGCACCCTTATCGCTGATGTACTTGGACGTTACCACATAGTTAAAGGAGAAAATGTCTTTATGACTTCAGGAGCGGATGAGCACGGCCAGAAGGTTGCTGAGTCTGCGAAGCAGAATAATCTAACACCGTATGAATTTACAACCAAGATGAGTGGGGAATTCAAAGAGTGTTTTGAGCGGATGGGTTACAACGTGAATTATTTCATCCGCACTACCTCTGAATTCCACATGAAGGTGGTCCAATCTGTATGGTCTAAGATGGAAGCGAAGGGAGACATTTACCTTGGCTGCTATAAGGGCTGGTACTCGGTAAGCGACGAATCATTTTTGACTCAACAGAACATTGCGGATGGCGTCGACAAGGACGGTAAGCCTTGCAAGATCAGCTTGGAAAGTGGCCACGTTGTTTCGTGGGTTGAGGAGGAGAACTACATGTTTCGTTTAAGCAATTTCAGTGATCGGCTACTTGAATACTACCACAGCAACCCTGATTGTATTGTTCCCGAATTTCGTCGCCGTGAGGTGATCCGGTTGGTTGAAAAGGGGCTGATGGATCTCTCTGTCTCCCGAAAGTTCGCATCCGTACAAGGCTGGGCGATTCCTGTTCCGGGGAACAAAGAGCATTGTATCTATGTCTGGGTGGATGCGCTTTTCAATTACCTAAGTACAGCTTGCATGGATATTCAGCCCGACGGATCGGTCGCTATGTTGGACGAGTCGAAGCTGGAATGCTGGCCTCCTGATATACATGTGGTTGGCAAGGACATCCTCAAGTTCCACTCCATTTACTGGCCGGCATTTCTCATGTCCGTGGGTCTGCCTCTGCCGAAGAGGTTGGTAGCACACGGGTGGTGGACTAAGGATCACAAGAAGATCAGCAAATCTCTCGGCAATGTGTTCGACCCTGTCCAAAAGGCAGAAGAGTTTGGTTGCGATGCTCTCAAGTACTTTTTACTTCGTGAATCAAACTTCTCTGATGATGGGGACTATAGTGACAAGAACATGGTTGCTCGACTGAACTCTGAGCTTGCCGACACTCTTGGGAACTTGGTGATGCGTTGTGTGGCGCCTAAAGTAAATGTCAAGGGTGTATGGCCGAACCCAGGACCCTACAACGCCAACGACCAGGAGTTAATTCAGTCTATTAAAGACCTCAGTGGGACGATGGACCACTTCTACTGCTTGCCGGACATTCAGAAGGCTCTGATTGCTGTGTTCGATGTACTACGCCAGCTTAATGGGTATGTCACGGAGAACACGCCGTGGAAGCTGGTGAAGACCGATACGGACCGGCTTGGGACAGTGCTATATGTTATCATGGAGGGGGTTCGGGTTTGTGTGACACTGCTGCAGCCAGTCCTCCCAACAAAGTCGGCCTTGATTCTTAAGATGCTTGGTGTTCCGGAGGAAAAATGGATCGGGGTTGAAAACTTTGTTTTTGGTATCATGGAGCCCGGTACTAAGATAGCGCCCCCAGATGAAGGGGAGGTTATCTTCAAAAAAATGACACTGCCAACTGAGACTTCATAAAAATTAGTAAATAGGTAAATGAAAAAAGAAAGAACCCACTTGACCGAGGGTAGATTTATTATTATTATTATCATTATGAACGGCAAGTATTTTAAATGAGTGATATATTCACTGCTTAGCTTTCTAATATTTTTTTCATTTTATTTACTCTTGGAATGATTTATAATTTATTAGTCTCTTTCAGGTTCTAGTATTACGTTCTCCGTGAGTTTATCAATTTAATTTTGCCCGAGTAATAGTAATGTAACGTTGAAGGCAATTAAAAAGATCAACCATATTAATGTTCTGTGCATCTGTTATTACCTTATAAAACGAAGCCCTTTTAAAGGGGTAGTGGGGAAAAAAAAATGCGAATGATAAAAATTGGTGAATCAAGTGAAATGCATTTTAGCCCTTAAATAATTTCTAATCAATATAAACTGTTAAACGACAAATTGTTATCAGTAAAATACAAGAAGTAATTCAATGAATAAGATTTTATTTTAAAAAGTATGATGCAATTATACTTATTAATGTTTTAATCATAATTACCCATTATCTGCTGTCCCTTATTATTATTTTTTAAAGCTTTATGTATTCTAATTGTATAAAGAACTTTTTAGTTTGTTCTAGATAAGCTTTCAGTGTTTCAGGTGAGAGCGACGTCTGCGCAAAAAGTGGAAATAACGGAATCATCCATTCCACTTGTGCGTGCGAGCGTGTGTAATTTGACCTATACACCACAAACGAGAGAAAAATACTCCCACCCCTATACACAGATTAATTTTTTTTTCTGTGGAGTTTCTAGTACAAAAGGTAAAGAAAAATTCGTAATTGAAAGATTCTAGTCCTTTTTCAGTATTTTTTTCTACTTATCTTCAGAGCTTGTTACACATCAAGCGAAGTGGGGTCTATATTGCTTCTTTTTTCTTCTACTTTGTGAGCTTCCATATCCAGAACACGATACAACACTCGGCTTTGGTTCATTTTTCTTTGCTAACCTCAGGGCTTACTTACGTAGAAGATGCCACCACGACTGTCCCGTGGAGGTGGATCAGCCCAAAAGGCCATGCAGCAGCAACAACAACAGCCTCAACCTCAGGGCCCACCGCCATCCGCTCAACCCATGCCAGGCCTTCCAACTCACCTTCATTATTTCCACCATCACCACCATAGTAACTATAGCAACAATGTCAATTATGGAGGCAACATATACGGTAACCAGCCGCTCATGCCTCCCACACCACAGCCACAACAGGGGGATTGGGGCAATAATAATCCTGGTATCGTTTATAGTCCTAACTTTAGCAATACCAGTCTTAACAATAACATGTATGGGCATGGTGATACCGTACAACAGGCTCTTCCACCAACTGTGTCCCAGCCTCAGGGAATGTACGACATGGATTATGGAATGCACCCCTCCCCGTATCCACAGCAGCCACAGCAAACTGGTGGGGGGGGCTCTAACCGTCGGTTGCATACACCTGCTTCAGGCATGCAAAACCACCCACCGCCACACCAGCCGTCCTACTACAACAATATGAATCAAGGGACTCACTCTCCTATTGCGGGAGGGGGCTATCGGGGTTCTATGCCGCCACCTCACATAGATCCGTCACCCAACTTTTCCGCAGGAGGCCCACCGCCACCGATGCGCCCTGACGGCACCTACGGCAACGGGACATTGAGCCCACCACCGCCCAACAGTACCTACCACATTCCGCCGCAGTCTCTTAGCCCCAATAACAACTACGTCCAACCTGTACTGCAGCAGCCACAGCCACAACCACCACAGCAGCAGCGCGGAAACTTGGTACCACCTCCAGGGAATGGGGCGATTATGGGGTACCCCAATACCAACGGCGGCATGGCTCCTCCAATGCGCTACAACCCTGGTGTGTTTCCGGGCCAGCAGCAGGGTCAAGGAGGTCCAGGCTTGATGGGGGCCATGGGTCCAACGGGAGGGAAGCGCATGGACTGGAGTCATACAGGCACCCCCGCCCCCGGCCCCGGTCTCGGCCCTTCGTACGGTTCGGGTGGTGTGGGTGTTGGTACGGGCTTACCTGTACCTCGAGGTCGCGAGCGCGCGGGTACCCCAGCGATAAAAAATGAACCGCCTCAACAGGGAGTTGTACCTATGTTGGGGGCGGGAAATCAACAGCCTACATACACGCCTCAGGCTACCATGCCGCCCATACCATCTGTGGGGATGGCGCCGAGCGATAGGCCTTCAAATTCTGTTTATCCTGTCCTATTGATGGAGGAGCAACCCGAGACGCGTGAGTCGCTCTACGATTTCCTAAAAGAGCGTCTATTACTTAAGGCGTGCCCTATGAAAGAATTTTTCTCGACAAGCATAAACAAAAAGGATGATGAGCCTCTTCTCGTCGCGATGGATGGGAACTACATGGTGACCCAGCTTCGAGCCCAACTATGTAATCGTGACCCCTTGTGGTTTATTTACTCTTCACTACCGGATTTGTTGATAAAGCTGGTCGAAGAACACGTAATTGGTATGCGTGAGAAGAATCTCGAACCGATTTGGATCTTTAATGGTATCACCACTAGTGCTGATATAACGTCACTTCTGCCATCCAGTCAGGAACTAACTTCACGAGATAGGGTGTGGCGCAAGCTAACGGATGGAATCTTGCCTTCCACTGACGAGATCACTGAAGCATTTGACACCAGCTCTTCCATTGGGGAGGACGTCCTTATGGCCATTCAGCGCTTTTTGCGCCAAAAATTAAATGTTCTGACTCTGACCTCACCCTTCCTAAACTGGTGTCAGATGGTCACATTTCACAAGGAGGGTGACGCTCATTTTCTTATGGGGCCGCCTGAGATGCTAATGCTCCCTTACGAGCCTATGCGGCTCATAGTGGATATCGATTTGAAGAATGAGCAGGTGGCCTATTTTAACCGCGATGAGGTCCTTCGGAAGCTTTTCCCGAAACATATTGGCCGCGATAATATCACCGCATCTGCTGGAGACCGACTATTGGACTTTGGGCTGCTAATCGCTACGCATCCGATTTTTGCTACAACCCGAGTCATTCTATCCCTCTCCAACAACGAGGTCTACGAGGAATTGTCCTCTGCCTCACCGCGCTTTTCAACCCTGCGTGAATTCATTAATGCATATGCCAAAAAGATTAACGGTGGTACTGAAAGAACGCGTGTAGGATCGGAACAAATAAGGCACGCAAAAGGCCGTAGCTACATACAATACAGCTCTGTTTTTTCGAAAAGCTTTCCTGGTTCACCGTTAGTTTACTTTAAGCGTGTGCTCGGCACAAGTTTAACTAACGCGAACATGCCTAACAACCTTTCCGGTGTATTTGGGAACTTTTTACCTCTCTCACTCTTCTACTTCCAGTATATTGGTCTGCTTTCTGTCAGTCTTATGACTATCATTGCTCAGTCATACTTCCGTGATGAATTCCCAGTTAGCGATACGTTGGACTACCATAGACACCTCCCATTACTCATCGGCCTGCGTGGACAGACCCTTTCTCAGTTGGTTAACAAGTTGAATCCCAATTGCCAGAAACGTTTGGAAAAGATCTCCTGGGTGCGATGGTTTACCAACCTTCTTCTGGTAGTAGCGCGTCCAACCGAGACGATTTTACTTGAGGAGTGGAACTTGCAAAACGTTCAAGTTATCAACGAAGCCGATGACAAAACCTTTGATGATATTGATATTCGCACAATTTTATCCCTGAGCAATATATCATGCATACCGCCGCCGATGGAATCTGGTCGGCAGGCCCCAGTGCTATATTGCGGCCCGAGGCAGACTTTTATTGCTATCATGCTTAAAGTTTTTGATTTTCTTGGATACTTTTCGCATTTATCTTCTCAAGTGACCGGTGATGAGAATGGGGGGAGTTTGGCGAACGGGAGCATGCCTCGTGGTATGATCCAGTCCGTGCAGCCGGTCGCGTCGGATTCCGACAACCGGCACATCTCCATGCACTCCAATAATATTGCAATAGATAAAGGTGGGATCGGGGTCGCTCCTATTCAAGAGGAATTTGGAGAGGAGCACTTTTTCACTAATTTTTTGATCGCCTCTATGCGGGCCTGTCCCCCGGAGTTCCAGAGCGCCTTTGTGCGTTTCACAGAGCTGCTGCGCGTTAATATTCTCAATTGCACTCCTTGCCGCTACGTTAGTTTTAACAACGACGACAAGGCCGAAGGGCAGGAGGAGGCCGAGGACGCGGGGGAGGTACTGCTGGCCTCCCGTATCGCCTGCCTGATCTCCATACCCTATCTCGATGACTCCCCGGATGGCAACTTTGAGTGGGCGCCGGTCTACAGCCGCCATATTTGCGCGTTATCCGTGATGGTGCGTGCGATGAATCGGGATTTGCGGGAGCTGATGGAGGTGATCACCGCCTCTGTCTTTCTTTCCGGCTGCAGTGATTGCCATATCAGCGAGTACGATCGATTTATCCCACTCCTGCCCTTTGGCGATGTCCCGTCGTCCATTGGGGGGCTTTTGCTCCATTACGTCCTCGTCTTTCCGGCAGATTACGAAAGCAATTGCAATACCCCTAAAGAACGCTGCGATCACCTCCAAAGCAAGTTCAAGGCGATCCCAGATGTCGCTACGCAGCTGCGGAAGGTGATGAATTTCACTTTTCACGCTCTTTTCTTGCTTATCGCGTACCGTTTTCACGATTCATCAATCGTGACGGTGCAGGCTTTATTGAATACCACGGTCGTCGAGGATACATTGAACCTTCTCTATGAGAAGTGGGTGCTACATCTGGATGGTCCACCCCCGACGGATATTCACAATCTTTGGAGGCCTGAAAGACAGGTCCATGGTTCTGGAGTAGCTGAAGGAATGACCTATTAATTGTGAAATGAGGCTTAAACAATTTGTACAAGGGAAAATGTTGTAAGACATGGTTAACGATGAAAATAAATGATCAATAAGGCAAAAAACAATATCAAAGATTTGGCGAATAATGATCTGTCTTTTTAAATATTAATCGTATAGTAGTATGAATGTGTGTGTGTGTGTGTGTGTATGTGATGAGGTAATGGCATTAGTGTAAATAAAAATATACTATATCTGAGTGCTTGTGTCATATAAAAGGGAAAAAAATAGGAAGCGTGCATCCTATTTTTGCTTTCAGTTTATGGAGAATTTTATCATGTTTCGGATGTTGCGATATTTATATGAGGATAATGAGATATCACTGCTTTTACCATTATTATATCATGACATCCGTTAGGAAGTGGCGCAGGGAAGGCAAGGGTGTGTTGTGTGGCGCCATTTTTCTCTGTGTAAAGCTAGATTTCAATATTCTAATGATAAGTTTAAGGGGAAAAATTTAGACGTATGAATAAAATGATGTGCGCTTGTGTGTGTTTCCATCCACTTGAATGCTTGTGACTTACGTGCAGTTAATTGACTGGTATTTTTTAGAATTATGGCCTATACCAGATTTCAAATATATTTAATTATTTTATGTGGAAAAAATCCTACGTTTTGGTATTTCAAAGGGCTATATATTTTCTATACGAGGAACTCATTTCTAATCTTCCAAGTTATGATTATAATGTTTAAATGATTTTAGTCTAATATTCTCTATCTAGGAAAAAATCAAGCAATGGTGGAAGTTGGAAAAAAAATCTAGGAAAAAAAAAGAAAAGGAACATATTCACTACGGTAGTTCTAAATTCATTATTATTATTATTTTACCTTTTTAAATTCAAAAAGTCCTTTATACCTTTCTCTACCCTCTAAATTTGCTATCTGCAGCATATGTACAGAATAATCTAGTGATCATTGAAGAAAGCGAAGATTATGAAGAGTGATATTCATCTTCTATCTAGCTAAGTGTTACCAGTATATTTGTTTATTATCCACTATTCTGCTCATATCGGTACAATTCATTTGCCACTAGTCAAACATTTCACATATATCTTCTAGCATTACTGAAGCGGATTTCTTGGGTACACTTAAAGCTGCCTCTGAATTTGTTTGTCTGTTTTCCATCTTTTCGAGTTCGTACAAAAGGTATTTTCACGGTCCACCATTTCTCAACTCCTTTTATTACTATTACTTTTGACAAGACATGATACACGCATAGAGAATATTTGTCACAGTATTGTCAATTTTTTATTTAAATAAAGACGATTGACGGATCGCAAGGCTTTCATCCATTTTCGAAAAGCAGATTTAAATTGTCATAAAGTAATGAAGTGCCTGAAAATATTTTTTTTAAGAAAAAAAGGTGAACACCATCCTTTCGGAAATATAAGTATAAAATATAGAAGTATACTTTATATGAGATTGTTTTGAATGTTACTAATTGCCCTTTTTTTTGTTGAGATGGATGTATTGGTATATAAAATAGTTGTTAAACATATACAGACACTTATGTGATTTTTTCAAATTCTAATAGTTGTTTCCTTTTACCTTTGCTTTCGTTTGTTTATGCTTCATTTTCGTCTGTTTTTCTTGCTGAAGTATTTCGTATACTTTCATAGTTCTAAGGGAGATTTATAAAATGTCTAAAGCATCGCCCATATGGGTTTATAGGCCAGAAGGGCAATGATCTTCACTTCTGTGATCAATGTGTGATATGCGCACACAATGCGGCTTTGTGGTCACCTCCGGTAAACACCATGTGTGAAAACATGTAGTTCATCACATTTTCCTACACCATGACATTTTTTGTAAGTCAAATGCACGTTTTATGACGTTAAACGTTCTAAGGGGCCGGAGCAAGGATAAACGAGGAATCTCATGTGTGTGTGTGTGTGTTTAAATCCCCAAAAGGAGAGCGAATGAGTGTCGTTTCATTTATGAATTCTGTTTATTTTGTTAGTGTGATAGAGTTAGATACTACCCTTTTTACAGACAAAAGAAAGAATATGTGGGTAAATTTGAATGATTCATTACAATCCGTATTAATAAGAATGCATAGACATGTACATCCTTGTGTCTTTAGCTGCACATCTATGATTTGTATTATCAATATAAAAATTCTCTATATTATTCCATAACTTTTTGAAGTGTTTGTTTCATAGTTTGTCAATCATTTAGACCAAAAAGGTCAAGTCTGAGAGAAAGATCAAAAAAATTTAGGGTATTTTTCTGGACCCAAAAAAGGAAAACTCTTGCATAAAGGGATTTACATTCTAGATACCACTGCTACATACTATTTTTAGGCTATCCATCTATTCTTTTTTTCCCATTTCACCTTAAAAAAAAATTATCCCCTTCCCATTACTTCCAGACATTGTTTCTGACACTTTTACAAGTACAACTTTGGACAGATTTGTATTATTCTTTGTATTCCTCGTATTGTTAGTATTATCCCTGCCAACGCGTGCGTTCTTCAGAGGTCGCTGTTGGGAGTAATGACGTCACAGCCTCGAGAGGGGGCATCTGCGGGGGTAGGAGAAGGAGGAGGGAGGAACCCTCCACACGAGCGCGCACGAAGGCTGTTAGAGGCTCGCCTTCAAGGGGAGTGGCCCCGGCGTGAGAGCACGCCCGGGGCTTCTATTCCCCAACTGGCCTTGACCCGCCAGCGGGAGATCCTCATTCGTGACTTCAACGCCCATCTCGCGAACTGCGAGATTTCGAACCGGCGATGGTGGAAGGAGGTCTCGGCGCGGCACGCCGCGGGTTTGGCGGCTTTAACTGAAGAGCGCGATACGGCGCGGGCGGCCTTGGCACAGCTTCAGGAGGAGCAAACCTCCTCGATTATGGCATTGGCCGCCCTCCAAGTGGAGTTGGAGGAATCACATAGAGCTGTGGCCAACTGGTCGGCAAGATGTGAGGGGTTAGGGGCTGAAAATGAGCAGCTAAAGGGCGAGCTGTCTGATCAAGCGAACCGCTTTGAGGAGCTGCAGAAGGAAACTCAGTCAACACAAGCAGAGTGTAGTCAAGCGATCGAAGCGTTAGCGAATGCTCGGGTGGAGTATCAGAAGCTAAGAAAGCAGACTGCAGATCAGGTTGAGGAGCTGCAGCATGCATTTGAGGAAGCGCACACGCTGGCGGCCTCTTTAGAGATCGATCGAACGCAGTCTAACAAGCTATTAGAGGACGAAAAGGCCATGGTAGCGCATCTTCTAGGCGAAATAGAAGTGTTGGAGCAAAAAGTCAACTCACGAGCTGAGGAAATCGTCAACGTCAATTTCCCCTTTGAAAACCTGTTTTTGGGAGTTACCGATGATAGTAAGCCCGCTACTGAGGTAGCTGCTAGCCATTCAACAGCCGACCTAAATGCGGTAGAAAAGGCGCTTCAGTCTGCGAATCAGATTATCGTGGACCTTCATGTGAGGCTTGAGGGGACACAGTCGGCGTTGGCTGAATCGCGGGCCGCGCGTGATCACCACCAAAGGGAAGTCAATGACCTAAAAGCACTACTAGAAGTGAAATGCGCAGAGCGTGAACGGTTAGCTGCTGCACTGCTTCTATCCCAGGAGCCGTTTGAACTGTGCGGCGAGCTTCATCAAACGCTTGCCGAGCCAACAGAGGTAGCTAGCGTGTCTGGAGGGAATCCCTTCAGCGCTTTCGATGATCTTGGTGGAGAATCTATGAGTATGTTCACACCAAGCACGAGCAGAGTTTCGCTGGTGCATTCGAATCTAATCTCCTCACGTCCCCAGGATGGTTTACCAATGGATCAGCAGGCTGATGATGAAATATTTGGCGACGAGCAAGGATTTGGTTCTTATGATGAAGAGGTAGATAATTTTGCTAATGATCATAGTGCAGGCAGTATGGATATCTCTACGAGAAATTTATCCGATAAAAGGCCAGAAAACAACCCTTTCGTTGGGATTAGCCTCAGGGAAGAGGTGTGGGAATCTGAGATTCGTACCAACAACAAACTAGAGGACAGTAATTTTTCCAACAATCTTAGAGAGCCCCTTTCTGAGGTCAAAGAATTCCACTTTGATTCACGCAGAACAATGAAAAATTATGACGCTGTAGAAAGGCAAAACGAATTTAGAGATTCTCAAGATTATCAATGCGAAGAGAAGAATGAAGAGGAAGCATTCACTAACAAAGGGGGTCGGACAGAGTTGAACATGGGAGTAATGTGTAAATTAATCGAAGGTAAATATGAGGTTCAAAACTTGTGGCTGCATAAGCCGAGAGGAGGGGATGGCCTAGAGGTGGCACCTGGGGAGCCATTATCCTCTTTTCCAGAAGGTGGAATCAAAAGAAGCTTAAATACGGATTTTTTTCAAGGCAGTGCTTTCAATACGCTTACACAAGGGGTGAAGTGTGAGTTAACGTCATCGAAGAATGATCTACCACACCTCATTTCGGTGGATCGAGAAGAGGGCAAACGCTTATGTAGTGCAGCGGCCGATATGTCCACGATGGGAAATTACATTCACAAGTTGGAAAGACAGTTGGAGACGTTACAACTAAGACTGAATGCGTATGAACATGAGCGCTCTCAACCCTTCCCTGAGATGGAGGAAATTAGGCGAAAATACGCGGAAACCCAGCACCGTTTGCTAATGGCTGAGCGTGAAAATGCGGAGCTCGCGTTACAGTTGGCCACGATGCGGTCTCGTACTATCCCTATGGAGGGGCTTGGGGACGTGAGGGGGGGGCAGGGGCCCGCCATCGGTACGAGCGTGAACGCGGACAATTGTCTTGCGGCCGCTGGTGAGATTGGACATTTAGGGAACACCGCGGACTCAGGAACGTTAGGGAGTTTCCCGTTAGGCTTAGCCTTGGGCGGTACGAACGACATTTCTTTGTTTGGTGATGGGTCTGGCTCTGGTGTGGGGCGGAATGGCCATCACTGGAGTGCGGCTGCTGGGGAAGGGGTGTCGGCTTCGCTTCCGGCCTGTGAATCCCACTTCGTGGGGGGTGTTCGAGCAGGCCGGATCCCTTCCTCCACGACGCCATGTGCGTTTGAGGATCTCACCGGCGGCGGTGCGGGCGATGAGGGGTCGAAATCTCTCCAGCCAACTCGCCATTCCGATGAGTTGATGTCGTCGGCTCTGGCCATGGAGGATCTGGGTCACCGCTACGCGGACGCGCAACATCGGCTGACGCTTTCGGAGGAAGCACGTTCTTTGCTTGAGTCGGAGGTGCAGGAGCTGCGCACGCGTGTGGAGGACCTGGGGATCCAGCTGTGGGAGGCCCAGCAGGGTATTAGGCCAACAAATGAAGCGCTCCCCAGCGTCCGTTCTACTGAGGCCCTGGGGCCGAATCCCTTTTTGGATATTCTTCCCCCTATCCCGACGCTTGAGCAGAATGATGGAGTGATTCTGCATAAAAGCAGCAAACTGAGCTCTTTCCAGGCTCTTATTGAGCGGTTTGAAAGTGTCAGTGGCGGCGATGCCGTTTTATCCGATGAGTTTCAACGCCAGCTAGAGGAACTAAAAGGTTATCACGACCAAGAGCTTGAGGATTTGGCCGAAAATGCGGCAGCGCAAATAGCCGAGCTTGAAGCAACCTACACACAGCGTATCACGAATATGGAGGATGAAATGCGCGATCTCTTGTCAAGACAAGACCAAGGTGCATCCTCCACCCGTGAGGATGGCCGTCATCAACCAACCAGTACGTCGAACGAGGCAAGAGATGACGATGGCCAGGACGATAAACTGAATACTCAGAGTACGTGTATCCAGAGCTTGAACGATGCATTGACTGAGATGAAAGGAGCGGTCGAACGCTTTGAGGTTGAGCACGAGGCTGATTTACAGGCAGTCGCGCAAGCAATTGATATTCAGTTATTGGAAAATGATAAGATTCTGGAAAGACGTTTGGAGCAGCAGCGTATATTTTATGAAGGTCATATTAGCGATCTAGAGGATGCTTTGAAGCAGCAGCAAGAGGCATATTTTAAGCTTGAGACTGAATCCGCCAGCGCCGTCAGAGCCTTGAGCGACAATGCGGAATCTCAGGCTGCTTACTGGCGCGATGAGCACTCCAAGCTCAGCTTGAATTTTCAGAAACTACTGAAAGAGTACGAGGGCTCTATGCACAATTTACAAACCTTGCAGGAACACAAGGGGCAAACTCAACATCAGGAGGAATTAAATATCAATTCCAAGGCTGCATTTCTACTTAACCCACAGCTGCAGGATCGTCCTGAGGACATAAATAGTTACATACATGTTACTCAGGATAACACTTCTGGGTGCGATGTACAGTTTCAAGTTACACAAGGAGAGTTCGAAAAAATTAGGACGCAGTGCACTGCACAGGTAACTCATCTTGAGGAAACATTGGAAAAAAGGATGAAGGAGATCGAACATTTAACTCAAAGCAACGACGAGCTTGGGGTGCTTCTTAAAGGCGGCGCAAGCACGATGCAAACCAAGCTACAAGATCAACAAGAGCAAATTGAGTCAGCCAATCTAAGAGTTCACCAACTGGAGGAGGAGTTGTCCCGCTCACAGGATGAACTTGTTCAGTGTGCAAACATGATCGAGCTACTAAAAGGCACCGAGAAGGCTGCCCAGGAGCAAGTTCTGAGTGCCGTGGCTATACAACGTGATCTCAGCACTCAATTACATGAGGCGAAGCGCCGTGTATGGGAAGAGCAACATGCAGCAGCTCAAAAGCTTCAGAGTGTGGTCCGAGAACTGGAACAAAAAGAAGAACAGGTGAAGTATCTTCACACGCGTGAGATTGAGGATCTTCAGAAGCAGTTAGAGAGCATCCGGGTAGAGTTAGAAGTACCTCAGACCATGCCCACTACATTTACCTTAGAGGATGAGAAGTTTGAATTAGTCAAGCAACGTCTCACAGACGCACTGGTGAATAATGATCAATTACAAGCCTCATTACGCGATGCGAGCGCAGAGATACAAGTTCTACACGGTGTGGTAGATCCCAAAAACTCTAGCCAAAGGGAGAGTACGACTTCTATCAGCAGCAATGACGCTCCGGCCGACTCGCTTCTGCAGCATATCATGAAACTCGAGTTCCGTATTAAAGAGCTTACAAACGATCGTAGTACACTAGAGGATGAAAAAGCTGAATTAGAGAACAATCTCAAAGATGCCGTGAGTAAAATAAATGAGAAGGAAAAGATCTTACAGCGACAGAAAATCGAAATTCAGAATTTACATCATCAGTTGTTGAGCATTCAGGAGAATCTTGAGGAAAAGACTCGGGAGCATCAACATCTATCACATGATTTGAGCCTAGTCCAGGAGAATTCCATTCAGCTCGCCACGGCCTACGAGGAGTTGCAGAGTCATTCGATTAATGATGCACATTATATTACCGCCCAGAAGCATATGGAGGCATTGCTGATGGCGAAGATGATATGTGTACCACTTTTCCTACAGGAGTATCTTGATGCTATTTTCGGCAATTTTATGCTTTTGGTCGTTCCCGAGTGGAAACAAAGACATTTGTTGGAACAGTGCGACACTGTCGATAGGTTGGAAAAGGGAGAAATTTTGACAGAGGTGGCGTTGGTGGATGCTCATCAGGCAAAACTATCACAAAAAAAAATAGATTAAATGACTTCAGGCATAATCTGAAAACCTTGTAGGCAGATGTCGCGGATACCAAACACCCAAAGTGATGGAATCCGATCAGGGAACAAGCGCTATGACCAGAATTTAGAAACTTTTCGATTATAAGCTGCACAGAGTGTAGCCTTCTGCAGGGGAAGCGGGGTAGAATTATCAAAAGCGTCACCATACAATTTGATAGTACGCCTTCGGATTTGTGTGTGAGTTCTTTTCCTCTTCGCCCTAGCGGAGCGCAACTGCCATTTTGGCGCTTCAGACGAGTAATTCGCATTTTCGCCACGTGTGGGCAACGCTTACAAGGGTGGAGATGCCCAGAGAATGGTGTGATAAGGGGAATCTGTGGTGATCTGCCACCACATCCTATAATACTCCTCTTTTAGTGCAGACAGGTAGTTTATATTGGGGGGCCCGAAATTCCGTGATCGTTTGTGGGGAGATGCGTGGGATATTTTCGAAGGAATATTTCGTTTGTTGATTTTCATCTTTGGGAAAAGGTCAACTCTAGAGCTGAGGTTAACAAAATAACTCCAGTCTAGAGGCAACTGATCATTATCATAATCTCTAACTTCATTTTCGTGTTGCTGTGCGGACGCACGTGCAAGCTATAGAATAGTAAGGATTCACTTCGAACTCTTGTTACTTAAATCTTTATGTGCCATTTTCTTGTATTATCAAACTTGATTCCTCGCAACAATTCCTCGTTTCTATAGGCAGTTTATTTATACATTTAAATGTCAGTAAAGTCTTTCGCCTGTTTTTCTAGAGCACCATATCCACATTCCATATTGCAGAGCACTATGTTCTGTGTTCTTTCAGTGAATTCCTCAGTGAAAATAATTCCAAGAGTGGAGGAGGGTTGGTGAAAGGACTGAAGGCAAGTACTCATATTATAAATGAGCTTATATGCGGTTTATTTTAAACTTAGTGAGAAGGGATTTTCTAAGGGGTCGTTTTATTTAGTACTACTTCAATTGAGATGTGTCCCTATAGTCATCTTTATGTTTCAGATATTGGAAAGAAGTTTTTTTAATCATTTTGTGTTAGAATTTAGGACATTATTTATTCATACCCACGCGCATATGAGAAAGGGACTTCCTAACTCATGCTAGAGCGTTGCCACTATTATACCCTATTTATAGAAAGACATTCCAAATTTTTAGCTTGAAAATTTTTTTTACATATTATTATTGTTCACTGTTTGCCTCTTGTCGATCTCTGAACATATCGAATTAACTTTTTTTTTTATCTCTAATCATTTTTCACTGATGTGTGTATTCACAACATTGCTTGTTTCCCCCGCCAAGCTAATATGTCTCACATTTTAAAAGGAATTAAGTAGCACAAACAGGGAAAGGGAGTATCTTAGGATCCCATTGCGCATCATCACATCCTCTATGGTAATATAAATAAGAATCAACGATAAAAGCGTTTCTTACCACTTTATCTCAGGTAACTCAAAGGAAAAAGGGATTAGGCCCTCTTGCCTGTTTTAATTTTCCAGCCGAAGGTATTTAATGAGGGCCTCTGACATTTTCCACGCGTGGCATCTCACCCCCATCTTGCACAAGAGCTCTACACACGACAGCGGGGTCAATCAGTACGGCCTCAAGCCCGCCAACACCTACGACTACATCAACCCCACCAACCTCGTAAACTTCGGGCGGGGCACACACTTTGACAACCTCGGTGTCCGACGCGCCGAGCGGGGGGAAATTGACTCCTCGCCATCCCTCAACGGGACACCGGTGGTCACCCAGGCGAAATTGTTAGGTCTTAGCGGGCCTGACACGATTCGAATGTGTGAAAGCGAAATGATGCAGCTTCGGGTGTGTATGGCAAAAGGAGGCAGCACGTGCGAGCGGGAAAATCGCATCTTGGATGTTTGTCTTTCGAAGGTGGGGCACCTCCGGCGAGCGATGGGGCAGGCCTGCTCGGAGTTTAACGATTGGTTCATCCAAAATGTATCGGATAACCACACCAAACCTTTTCAGCACCGGCCGCATGACTGGCGGCATTATTACGCGCAGGAAAAACTTGTGAAGGAGCAGCAACAGAACGGCAGTGCGTATGGGCGCCGACCGAAGCAGTTTTCTTTTGGTGCGAGGTATGTAAAGACGGAGGGTTACGGTAAGCGGCCACGTCTACCGTTCAACAAGTAAAAAAAAAGGATAGTTCGTAGGGTGCAAGATTTCTTTATTTTGTTTTACCGCGATGCGTATTGTGCTTTCGAGACGAGAAGTTTTACAGTACACAAAATATTATTTTATTTGTTTCCTTTCAGTTTTCATATTTATTATCCAATCAAGAAGGGCCGTGTGTACATGGTGGTTAATGCTTCTCTTTTCTCCCTTTCAAAGACCTTATTTCATCATAGCACAATTATAGCTTTAGCATGCGTTTTGCCCCTGAATTCAATGTCCTTTTCAAGTTGTATCAATGAAAATGTCTCCAGTCTTCTGGCAGAATTCACAGAAACCTTTGTTTTGGCAGATCAGCCGCACACTTCTACACCAAGCGAGTTCAATGCCTTGCTGCGAGGCATCGTTCCGCCGCGGGGGGAGCGTTTTAACCACGATTACCATGACACTTGTATGTATATCACCCGAAGCAAGAACGCGAACATAGTAGCCTACACCGTGAATTTAGAGTCGTCTTTTCATGCGCAGAATAAGGGAAAGGCTGCCGACGATACATCAAAAAAAGAGGACACTGCTAATAGGAAGAGTAGTACTCCTGACAGCCCTATCAATTCCAATTTTTCATATTATTCTATTCCCACGACTAGCAAAGGTTCCCTGGTATTATCTGGAAAAGGAGCGGAGTGTGAAATTAATGTGGATAATCCCATTCACGCATATTTCATAAGCTTGGAGCCCTCATACTTAAAGGAGCGCCGCCGCAAGGGTCTAAACTATGATTGCGATGATTTAAGTTTGATTGAAAGGAAGTTAGCCTATGGCTACCGCCACAAGATCCTCCATTGTCATAATAATCTTGACAAGCTGAAGGAACTTTTGCCATCGAAGACGCACACCGTATTCGCAGAATTAAATAAAGAACAGATGTCGATGGTGGCGGACTGGTGGTCGTTTTTTACACCCATCGTTATCCAGTTCGTAGCGGCAGCGGGGCTGCCTTGTATTTTGCTGCGGTTGAGCCCCATTAAAAAAGACACGTCTCCCCCTGCATGGGTGCAATCTCACGGGACTTCTTCTTTTTCGGATGAGGATACCCTCTCAGTGATCGTTTCCAAAGTTGATGGTCAACTATGTGTGATGGAGAGGGCTTACATTATGAGTATCGAGCGCTTTATGCGCTTCCCCAAAGTTGAGTACGTGGATATTTTTGGAGTATCCTTGATAACTGGAGAGATAATTTCCTTTAGATGGCTTAACAAAGGCAAGCATTCTTACTAGCTTTATATATATATATATAATATATATATGTTGGCAATGCAGTTAAATGCAACTTCACATTTATTTTGAAGGGAAAACAAGAGCCGAAACATTTTTAAGGATGCTCAAGTCTTTTCTTAATAACATGGATACATATATATATATATATATAAATATATGTATATAGATATATG